TCTCTCTCCCCCTTCTCTCTCTCTCTCTCTCTCTCTCTCTCTCTCTCGGTGTGTGTGTGTGTGTGTGTGTCTGTCTGTCTGTCCAAATTAAAATGATAATAATAATAATAATAATAATAATAATAATAATAATAAATGGAAATAAATAAATCTTTTTAAAAAATCAAGTTCAATAAAAAAAATCTAAAAAAAAAAAAAGTATTCATTTATTCTATGAGCGAATCAGAGAGACAGCAGCCTCAATAGTGTCGTGACACCTGTATCCACACCCAGCTGCAGTCTGCTCTGTCATGGACACACACATGACATGCTCCGGGAAGTCTCTGACACAGACCTGGAGTCCTCCCACACTGGTCAGCCTCACAGAGTGTTGCTTCTTGCCACTGTGCCACCATCTGGCCCCAGTTCAAACTTTTGCTTTAAATGAATGGGAAAGCCGAAGTACGATTCCAATATGCTAAGATTCTTAGAGTCGGCACGAACTGCTGAGGTCAGTATGAACCTCTTATGATATTGAATCTCCTCTTACGTAAATTGAATGAAGTGAAACTAGTCAATAAATCTCCACTTAAAAAACAAACAGGGGCCTGCAGGTGGTGAAGAACTGGATTCCCCTGTGGCTGACTGCAGTTTGAACCCAGACTCAGCAGTTGAAAAATCACGCCAGGTGCGTGTGTGTGAGTGCCCCAAATCCCGAGAGGAGAATGGAGGAGAAGCGACTGCGGTGTGGCCATCCCCCCTAGGGGGTGATTTCTTTTTTTGGGGGGGAGAGGTTTTTTATTTTTTTGCTATAGGGCGCAGGCGCTCGCCGGACAGACAGAGCGAGACATAGAGACAGAAAGCGAGAAATCCCCCCCCAGGTAGGAGGGTCACACCACAATCCCTTCTCCTCCACTCTCCTCTCGGGATCTTGGGCACGCACGCACACGTGCCCGGCGTGAGTTTTAAGCCACCGGGTCCGGGACGCAAACCACGGTCGACTACGTGGGAGTCCAGCGACATAGCCATTACACTAACTGCTGGTCCCCTGGGGGATGATTTCTCACTTTCTCTATCTCTCTCTCTAGTGAGTACACGTACCCTATGGCAAAAATCTTAAAACAACAAACAAACAAACAAAAAGTATGATCAAGCAAATCCAAATGTAGGATTTCTAATGTTTCTAAAAGAACATTGGGTCAGCTGGTGGTGTGGTAGTTAAGGTGACTAGATCCCACATGGCTGACTACATGGTTCAAGTGCTGGACCCAGTGGCTTGGAAAACATACCAGATGTACGTGTGTGTGCACCCCAAAATCCTGAGAGGATGAAGAGGGGATTATTTTTCTTTCATTTATTTATTTTTACATTTTTCCACAAACATTTTACTTCACATAGCAAAACAATTTTTTTGCTATGGAGAGGGGATTGTGGCGTGGTCATTCCCCCTGTGGGGAGTTTTCTCACTTTCCCTCTCCCTCTCTCCCTCCCTCTCTCAGTCTCTCTCTGGCAAGTGCTCTGTAGCAAATTAAAAAGAAGGAAAAACATTCCTGATTCTGATTGGGAACAGTTTCTCATGTTAGGCAGGAAGTGAGGAGAGTGGTCGATCCCGTTCTACAGGCCTGAGTCTGCCTCCGGGACACATGGCTTCAGCCCCAGCCCCAGGGCGGGCCTCCATTCCTCCAGGGTGGTTTGGCCCCATCATTTCCTACCTGGTGAAGGAGGTGAGAACACCGGATAGGGAGCCTCACCCCTAGCCTGGGAATGGAACAGATTGAGCTGGGCCTGTTCTGCTGAGTCATGTCCCTGGTGTCCCTGGGTGTCCCTGGTGTAGGCCTTTCCATGTTCCTGGAGAGGAGTCCCTCCCCAGCCTCACCAGGGATCTTAGAGTCGTCCTGGGTACCTCAGGGCCCAGCCTTTTGCCCTGGACATGGTGACTACCTGGGGTGGGGAGTGACCTTCCAGGGTTGCTCTACTGTGGATGATCTGGCTGCAGTCCAGACTCCCCACACCCACCTTCACCTTGTCGCCTGGTCAAGGTCACCCAGGGCCTGGTCATCGGACGGCTAAGCAACCACTTCTCTGAGGAAGCACTGCTCCGGGCCAGTGTGCTGGTCTTCATCCTGGTGGGACTGGCTATGGTGAGAACCCCCCTCAGGCTGCACCCACAGAGGGGTCCCAGGACCTCCCCAAGCTCCACCCTGCACCCCCAACTCTCTGCACCAAGGCATGGCCACTTGGACTGCTCAACACCTAGTTTGTGATTGAGCCTCTGGGCCTGCCTCAGGCTGCCTCCCAGCAGCCCTCCTCCCCTCCTCCCCTCCTCCCCTCCATCCCTGCCCTGGTCAGGGTGGAGATGACCGGGTGGGACCTCGGGCCGGGCTGCCAGTCTTGTGCCTCTGCTCAGCACAGCCCTGCCCCCACTTCCGCCAGGCCCAGATGTCCAGTGTCTTCCACTTCTGCCTCCTGATGCCCGGCATGATCTTCAGCCTCTGCACCCTCAATGTAGTCACCGACAGCATGCTGACTAAAGCCGTGCAGGCCACAGACACGGGTGAGGGCAGGTCCTCCTCTGTGGGAAGCTTGCTGAGCTGCCTGCCGGGTCTGGATAAGGCTGGGGTAGTGGGCAGTGAGGGGGCTCAGGGAGGATCCTGCCCACCACTCACCCCAGTCCGGGCCCAGCCCTTCGCAGCCCTGTTGACCGGTGCAGTGGGAGGGCTTTCTGGAGGCGGTATTTGGCCTGGCTCTGAATGGGTGGCATCTTACTGAAAGGTAGAGGGAAAGACAGCATTCCAGGCCAGGACCTACCAGGCAAAGTGTGGAGGTGTGGTTTGAAAGGCTCCTGCCAGAGAGATGGGAGAGAGGCCCAGACAGGGAGGAGGACAGCACACGAGCCCAGTGGGGCTTCTTCTGCCCCCTTCCCCTGGCGTACAGCCTACACACAGAAGTGTTCAGTGCTTCCTGAATGTGTGGGTGACTAGAATGCACACAGCTAGTTTCACCCAGGAAGCCCCTAGGAGGCTGGTGGAGGAGCCCTCTCCTGTACCCATGGGGATGCAGGTCTCCAGACATAGACCTCCCCAAGCTCCACTCTGCCCTCAGCTTTCCTTCTTGAGGCCTGAATGAGCCCCCCGGAACGGCTGGCCTAGTTCTTCACCCCTGCCTGCTGTGGACACAGTGCAGGTGCACACTGGCTAGTTTTGGGGGCTCCTGTGAGCTGGTGGATGTCAAAAACCTCAGGGGCTTCCAGGCCTCTCCAGCAGTGGGGCCAAAAAGTGCAGTAAGCCAGGCTGACCCTCTATCCACCTGCCCACCTGGGAGGGGCAGGCTTCTTCTCAGGGCTGCCCTGGGGGCTTCCAAGAGACTCTGAAGTCCTCGGATGGCAGGTCTCCATGGCTAGTCCAGGCTGGGCCAGGAGGGCTTCCTGGAGGAGATGGACCTGCCCTTTGGGAAGGCCAAGAGGAGGGAGCAGGGGAACAAGGCCTGGAGAGATGCAGTAAGGGCAGGGAGGAGCAGGAGACACCACCCCTCAGCCTGAAAGGAGCCAGGGCCGGGTTCCCAGGCTGGTGCTGGGAACCCAAGCCTCAGAGGGGGCGGTGATTGTCTGGTGTCTGCAGGGCGTGTGGGCAGCGGGAGAGGCTGCAGTTAAATTCCCCCACGCTGGGCCCTGAGCCTGGATGGGGCCTCGCCAGGCCCTCTCCCAGCTGACCAGCCCAGGGATTTCCAGTTCCAAGAGGTCTGGGCTCTGCAGCCCTAGAGCCTGAGACCCTCTGAGCAGTGAGGACCAGAGCCTAGCCATTTGGGAACTGGGAGTTGGGCAGGGACATCCTCCACCTAGAGTCCTGGGAGAGGACCTTTTCCTCAGTGAACTGCCCTTGGGAGTTGAAAATATTGGGGCATGGAGACCTGGGCTGTCGGGTCACCTGAGGCCAGATGAACTGGGAAGTGGGCTCATTCTCCCTGGGCTGCAGGGGAGGCTGGTGGAAGGGCCCCCTCCTGGCTTCTCCTCCCCAGCCCTGGGGGAAGTTCATCAAGTCCAGAGGAGGGCTATGGGGCTGGCAGGGGAGTAGGGGTAGGGATTGCTGGAGGAGGGGCTATAGGGGTGGCACTGGGGGTGTCGTGCCTCCCTTGAACCCTACCCCACAGTCTCACAAAGGCTCAGAAGGCCCTCTCGTCAGGCCCACCCTGTCACCAGTCCTCAGTCAGTCATGCCCAGAGATCCCCAGCCCCTGCACCCCCATCATCAGAGGCGTGGACCCTGGGAAAGAGCCCTGAGAGCCGGGCCCTGGATGGACATTCTGGGAGGTACAGGAGGTTCCTGGCCCCAGGGCAGATGCCATTTCTCTTGGCAGCCAGGAGGGTGGGGACTGCTCCTCTGACCTGTGGCCTCGTTCCCAGGCTCCACCTGAGCTTGAGAACTTTCGGGAGCAGGGAGAAGGCTCACCCCCACATCTGGGGAAGTACCCTGTGCAGGTCCTCTGCTTGGCTGGTGGCCCACAGGGAGCCCCTGTGGGCAGAGGAAGCATAGTTTATGCCAAAGGCTGGGGTGGGGCGCAAGAGTCCAGGTTAGGAGCAGGCAGTGTAGAAGGGCTATTGTGGGTGTTTGGGGGAGCATTTCACACCAACTGTGCTGTGTGGAGACTGGGCCATGGGGGGATGGACAGAGACCGGGAGCCGCCCTGGCATAGGCCATGAAGTGGGCGGCTTGTTGGCAGACCTGCTCGGAGCCTGACTCCCACCCCGCCACACACAGGAACCATGCTGGGCCTCTGCGCCTCTGTACAGCCGCTGACCCGCACCCTAGGGCCCACCCTGGGTGGCCTGCTGTACCGCCGCTTCGGCGTCCCCGTCTTCGGCCATGTGCAGGTCGCCATCAACTTCCTTGTCCTGCTGCTCCTCTGGAGGATGCCTGTGACCCAGAAGAGGGACAAAGTCCAGTGACCACTGCCCCCAGACACAGACTAGCAATAAACTCCTCTTCCAACCTGATTTCTGCAGGCTCATACCTGGGGTCCTGTCTGCCTGTGTGGGTGGCAGGAAACTGGGGAGGCAGCATGAGGGGACGGCTCCTCTGAGGCTTGAGGGCTTCCTGGAGGAAGGGCCTTGCAGCTGAGCCCCAGACTCAGGAAAAGAACCACTCGAGAGTTCATCTTTGATCAACTTGCGTAGCCTCCATTCCACCAGTGTGACCCTGAGGAAATCCCTAGTTAAGACCCAACTTTGTTCAGGCCCCTAGAGATGGGGCCCTCTGCTCATGTCAGCTCACCCCCTGCCTGCAGCAGCATCAGCCCATGACCAAGGCAGTGAGGCGTAGGAAGATCTAGGAAATCAGGCTTCACTGTGTTAGGGAGCCTCGTGGGCAACCCCTGGCCCTAGAACTGCACCAGACTCCAGAAGGGGAGCTCTTTAGAGGCCCCCCTAGCCTTTACATCCTAGAGCTGATTTGTAGGCCAGGTCCCCTCTCCTCGACCTACCCTCCCTGGAGGGTGCTGCCCTCATTGGCTAGAAAGGAGCTGGGGAGCACCTCCTGCCCTTCCTCCCAGCACCCTCCTGGGCTTTCAGGAGAAGGGGCACTAGTGGTCGGGAGGCCAGCCCAGCTCCTGTGACTGACTAGTCTGGAGAGAAACGCCCGAACCGGGGTCTGCAGATGCCCCTGAAATCGTGAAGGTTGCCCCCTCCCCACAAGAGCTTCCTTTATTTACTTTAAATTTTTTTATTATTTTAAAAATTATTTTAAAGGATTTTGTCCTAGGGAGTATGCACTTTCTAGAGAGAGAGACAGAGACAGTGAGAGAGAAAGTGAGAAATTACCCTCCAGGGGTGATGGCCATACTGCAATCCCTTCTCCTCCACTTTCCTCCCTGGATCTTGGGCACACATGCACACATGCCTGGAGTGACCTTGAAGCCACCAGGTCCAGGATTTGAATCCGTTAGCCATGTGGGAGTCCAGTGACATAACTGCTATGCCGTCTGCTGGTCCCTTAACGGCTTCCTTTAAAATAAGTTATGGGGCCAGCAGGTGGCATGGTGGTTGGGGTGCTGGACTCCCACATGGCCGACCATGGTTCAAGTTCCGAACCTGGCAGCTTCCTTTTTCACTTTCCCTCCCCTCCCCCACCCTGTCCCTCTCTGGTCAAATTAAAATCAATAAATAATAAAGTTAAATAAAGTCATTCTTTAAAAAAATAATAAATAAAAATAAGTTATTAGGCCTAGTGGTTAAGGCGGCTGGATCCCACATGGCCAGCCACACAGTTCAAGTCCTGGTCCTTGCAGCTTGAGAAACACACCAGGCACGTGTACATGCATGCCCAAAATCCTGAAAGGAGGGAGAGATGAAGAAGAGACTGCAGTGGCACCATTCCCCATAAGAGGGGTGTCTGCTTCTTTCCCTCTCTTTGGTGAGTGCACGTGCCCTCTAGCAGCAATAGTTGTTAAAGCTTAGAATTCCCAAACTTCGGTGGGACCAGCAGATGGCGTAATGGCTATGTTGCTGGACTCCCATGTAGTCGACTGTGGTTCGAGTCCTGGACCCAGTGGCTTAAACTCATGGTGGGCACGTGTGCATGTGTGCCCAAGATCTCAAGAGCAGAATGGAGGAGAAGGGATTGCGGTGTGGCCATCCCCCTTGGGGGGTGATTTCTCGCTTTCTGTCTCTGTCTCTCTCTGTCTTTCTGGCGAGTGCACATGCCCTATAACAAAAACCTCTCCAAAAAAAATAATAATTTCCAAACTTTGAAATTTCAGTCACCAAACTAGCAAGGAACCCAAAGAGCCAAGGCCCATCAGTTCTTCTGGGTTAAAAGTTCAGGCCAGACCCCACCTCTGCTTGGACCCCACCAAGGATAGGGTTCTCATCTCCTGGCTCTGGTCATTTGTCCAGGTGAGGGGCTGGGTGAGAGAGGTCCTTGGGGAGGGGGGCGGGGGGAGATCCAAGGGCCCAAGGCTGGTCATTTCTGTCTATAGGAGAGTCCCTCCCCATTTGCACAGGTGTTTCAGTGTCAGGGAGAGAAATTTTTGGAGGGAATAGTTTCCTCTTAGGACACAGCACCTAGGACTACCTCAGACTATCCAGCAAAAGGACAGTCCTCCTCCCTGAGACCCGGGTAGGAGGCCGATGACAGCTCCCGGCCCCTTCTGGGGCCCATATTAGGGTCCATCTGGTCCTTCCCTGCCTTCACCTCTACCTCCCCCATGCCAATCCTTCAAGCCTGAAAGGTCCCAGGGCTGGGACTCAGTCCTGTCCCCTCTCCCTCTATGCTCCTCTCTTAGCACCAACATTCTGTGTGAGGGGATACCGCATGAGCCCTGGCCACCAGGCAGCCCTGACACAAATCATCTCACAGAAGACTCAGCCAGGCAGGGAGGGTGGCAGCTGCTGGCTAGCTAGGAATCTCCGGAAGGGACAGGGCTTTGGTGAGCACTAGGGCCTCCCCTCCCCAACTGGACCAGCCCACCAATGCTCAGAGCCTCCTCCCCACAACTGGGGGAAGCCCAGATCGCTCTCCCGTTTGCTCCAAAACAATGCCCACCCTGCAGACCTCACACTGTGGGTACTGGCACAAGGGCTGGCATCTGGACTCTAAGAGCTACTGTGGGCAGCTAGTTCAGGACTACCCTGAACTCTCGGGTAGACTAATCAGGCCCTGATCACAGAGCTGGACCAGCGAGAGGCCCTGGGAGTTACAGCCAACAGATGGGGTCCAGCCCCAAAGGGCTCAGGGCCTCCTTCAGGTTGGCTATAAAACAGGTAGTGTGTAGGTGGGAGGGGGCAGTTAGGGACGTCACCCCCATATTGTATGGCAGCACCTCAGACTTGAGGAAGGTGTGCTGGGAACAGTTTGGGAGTGAACGCTGAGACTGCAGCAGCTTGTCCTTCCCAGGCCACACCCGAGGAACAGCAGATGTAGCCAAGTCCAAATCCCAGGGCATTTCCTGGCCTCTGGGGAGGCTGCTGGGTAAGCCGGGTGTGGACTCAGACCACACTACTCATTCCAAGCTGGGTCGGGTGTCTTTCAGATCAGCCTGGCACTGCCTAGCTGGCTCCCCAGCCGCCCTCCCCATGGGACTGAATGAGGGCCCCCCCTTTCCCAGCAGGACTCTCACTGTGCCACAGCCGTCTAGTAGAAAAGAGAACAGCTCAGGTAATTTATTTGGAATGGCACATCGATGCAAAAACAAAATATTAAGACAGAACTGTTTGACAAAAATAACCATCAAAATAAATACATAGATAGTCCAATAAGTTAATTGCGCCCGCGCAGCGGGGCGAGGCTTCGCACGCACGGAAAGGTCCTCCTCTGCGTGGCAGGGAAGCGGCCAGTCTTGTCCTCGCTGTGGTCAGAGAGTAGGCAGCCTGTCTGGGCCCCCGCCATCCTGAGCACCCCCTGTGCTCCTGCTTTGTGAGGCCATGCGGCCGGTCCGGCCCGACTGGTCCAGTGTGGCTCTGTGGGGAGAGGATTGGGTCAGGGTGCTGTACCAGAAGAGGTCGGGGTCCAACCTGTGGGGCCCTCCAGACCCGTATAGGGGATAAGGAAAGGCTCCCTCCGCGTGCCCCAGAGATGCGGCTCCAGGTCGCCTCTAGTAAGTGTCCCCAAGGCTGGGCAGGACCTCCCTACGACATTTTAAGTTTAAGTCGTTTTTCCAAATGGCCTGACCCCCAGCTGGAGGGTCACAGCGCACACCCCTAGAGCACCCTGTAGACGATGCCGGGAGCTCCCTGGCTCGCACTCACCGCGGCGCGGGCTCAGGGCGCGCGGGCCGCCCGGGCCTCCGGCTGAGCCGCGGGTGCAGCATGCTCCTGGCGGCTGCGGAAGTCCTGTATGGCGCGACGGTTCTGGAAGTCGATGAGCGCCAGGGTGATCGCCGCGTTCCAGCAGCTCTCGCCCGCGCAGCGGAAGTCGATCTCCTTGCGGTCAGTGGTAACGATGGTGAAGTAGATGTACTTCTCAGTGCGCTCCACACAGTCCACCTTGAGGATGGAATGGAAGCGCAGCTCCTTGGGGCGCGCGCCGGGGCCGGCCGGGAAGAGGCTCAGGCGGTCAGGAGTGAGCACGCCGCGTTTCTTCTTCCACAGCTGGAAGAGGCTATCGCTGCGCATCTCCAGGTCACCCTCGCGCAGCACCTCGCCGGGAGTCTTCATGTTGGGCTGCAGGTGTGATTCAAACGGTGGCAGCGCCGGCTCTGAGTCGCGTGGGCCGTGCGCTGCCTTTATAGAGGCCCCGCCCGGCTCTGCTGGCCACGCCCCCGTTGGCCACGCCCCTCCCCCCCGCCCCCGGCCCTTCCGCTGAGAGCGCTCCGCCCCTCCGCGCCCACGGTGTCCTGCCCTCCCAGCGCAGGTCCTTAGGACCTTCTGGTCGCATCCCTGCCTCGCTGCGCCCTAGGCCGCCCTCTCTATTTCTGAAGCCCGCGCTCATCCTGCCCCTAGACGGCCGAGCTGCCCAGCCTCGTGGGGTGACTCGTGGTCCCACCCCTCGCGGGCGCCGGCCCTCGGCTGCCTGCAGGGAGGCGGAGCAGAGGAATGCGCTGGAGCCGGCCCTGCCCGCGGTGACTCACACGCCCGAGAGCCAGCGCCCACGAGCGCCGGGCGGACTCAGGGCCCAGACCCCCAATGCCAGGTGCCCCGAAATGCAGCCTTGCGGTTCCAGTGCCCCTGAGTCGTTCCTCTCAAGCCCTGGCTGTCACCCTCGGGGGGGGGTCGCTTCTCCGGGCCATCTCAGGCTACTTCCAGAAGTGGCCTTGCCCCAGAGTATTCCCTGCCTTGCCACCACGGGCTGCGCCCAGATGGGCACTTGTCTGAGTCAGGCTTCCTTTTTGTAAAATGGAGACGATGACCTTTGTTAGATTAGGTAATACATGGAAAGAGCTAGAACAGCATCCTGAATGTTAAGTAAGTGCGAGGGAAGGGGGAGCGGGGGAGTGGGGCGTCCTCGTGTCCTGAACTCTGGGAGTGGACTTATCAGGTCGCGACCACAGATCTGGACCGGCGAGAGGAATGGAGGGGCCCGGGCGGCAGGAAGAATTAGGAGAGAATTAGGCCAGGTCGCGACACCGCCCTCGGGGACCAGCCCCGGGCGGGCGAGGGTCAGCGGGGGCGGCTGAGTCATCGCCTTCCAGCCAAGGCGGAGGAGCCTTTCATTTACCCTCTTCCTTTAAAGGGTTTAATAGCAGCAGGAAGCGAAAGCAGGTTCCTCCCAGGTTCCCAGGGGTGGGGGTGCAGCCAGGCTGCCCAAGAGCCCTCCCACCCCCCTTGCGCCTCTACCCAGCTGGGCCCCTGTACAGGTAGCAGCCAGGACCTGCCTGATAATGGGTAAAAGGAAGAAGAGACCCTTAGTTCAAAATGTTACACATTTCAAGAGGGTGACAGGAGAGCCTAAAACCAAGTCTGGGACCAACCCTGCCCCACCTGGCCTGTGTGTTGGTGCACCCCTAACCTCTCAGCCCAGAACCCTGGCCCTTAAGGTCACTGTGTGGAATAAAAGCACCTCCCGCTGGGAGGAAAGCCAGGACCAAGCTCCTGTGGACCACTTCCAGATGGAAGTCACCCACTGGTCACTACCATGTGGCCAGAGTACGTGGAGAGGGAAAGAAGGTGTATGTAGAAGTGTAGGGTGGGGGTGACAGGGCAGAGAAGGACTGATCCCCAATTTTAACAATAGGGACTGCTGGTCAACCCAGCTGCCCCTGCCCTCAACCAGTCCTGTCAGGGACACAGAAACCCCACCACCATCCACCTCAGGCCTGTGGGGTGAGGGAGGGAGCAGCCATGGGGTGAGGGATGAGAAGAGGGATTCCCCTCAGGACAGCACAGGATGGACCCTTGGAATGGACAGTGAGTCCCCCCTCACTGCAAGTATCCCAACAGTCTGCCGGCCTTTGTCCCGTGGAGGGGCTTCCAGTCTCAGGCCGGGCAAGGCTTTGGAAAAGGCACCCACTCTCCAGGTGTCCCTTCCCACAGCCCCTCTGCCACTCCTGTCACGTGGGAGTCCTGGCTGCCAGGCACCAAGAACTGGGCAACAGCCCCCTCTGGGAAGTGAGGCCAGGAAATTTGAAGTCAGAGTGCTCTGCCCTGCTGGGAGCCACTGAGCCCACAAGTGCCCAGCATCTGCCTGGAACCCTCCAAGACTCAAAAGCGCCCACCAGCCTGCTTCCCTTCTCCCAGGGGCCAGTGGGTGGAACCTTGGCTCCAGGCAACCTGCAGACATTTGGCATTGTTTAAGCACCTGCTGTGTGCTTGTGGAACCCCAGGAAGAGGAGCACAGTGGGCACTGGCATGTGTGAGGGTTGAGGGCCCAGCTTGGAGGATTCCATGGTGGTGGGCAGGTTTGAGGGGCTGTCGGGGAAGCATTCCCAGGAGACCTTGCAGGGCCACAAGCCCAGAGAATACTCCAGAGTGGGCCTTCTAGTCCCTGTTTCAGAGATAGAAAAGCCCAGGGAGGAAAGGGCCTGGAGAAAGGGGCAGGAAACAGGAGCAAAGACAGGGGTTCAAAGTCTTAGAGGAACCAGGAAGCGAGCTGGAGGAAGCAGACCTAAGCGGGCTAGGAAACCAGGTGAGGTGGCCAGGTGAGGGGCACTCCCTGAGCCCCACCCAGCTCCTCTGTGTCCCAATAGCCCCAGCAGCTCTCAGCGAAAACTGGGAAACTCACTCCCCCAGGGGATAAGGACCAGCATGGAGGGAAGTGGTCTGACGGGTAGGCAGTGTGGGAGGGGCTAGAGGGCGGGGTACTGCAGGCGGGGTCCTGCCTCTGTGGCTCACCCTCCTATTCTCTCGGGGACTTCTTGCAGCCTGGGCACCTCCACTGCTCCCACAAGAACAGAGTCAAGACTCCAAGGAGAGGTTGGCCCTTCAGGGCTGATGGTAACTGGGCAGAGGGTCCTGAAAAAGAGGGGATGGGCCAAGGCTAGATGCACCACTGACAGTCGGCTATGCTAGGGCTGGAGACCCTCTCTGGCCACCCCAGTAGCTGCTAAACACACTGGGTTGGTTCCTGCTTGGGCCAAATCAGCATCAACCTGATTAAGAATGTGGGAGCTGGGGACTAGTAGATAGCATAATGGTTATGTTGCTGGACTCCCACGTAGTTGACTGCAGTTCGAGTCCCGGAGGTGGCTTCAAACTTGCTCCAGGAGCATGCGCAGCGTGCTAAAAATTCCGAGAGGAGACTAGAGAAGGGATTGTGGCATGGCCATCCCCCCTGGGGGGGGGGGGATTTCTCCCTCTCTCTCTCTCTCTCTGGAGAACACACACGCCCTATAGCAAAAATCTGTCTCAAAATAAATAAATAAGAACATGGGAACTGGTGGCTGGCTCCCAACCTTGACCTAACCCTTGGACTTCTGGGGCCCCAGTGCCTATGCACAGATGTGGACAATTGTCCTCCATGTCCTCAGGACTGGAGCTTTACACACTCCCTGGAGCCAGGTCCAACTGCCATGGAAAACACAGCTCCAGCTAGCCGAGCGTACCCTCCCGTGTCCAACCCAGGGCTTTCTCTCCCCCACCACCGGACCCACTGGGCTCAGCTCCCAGCTGTCACCTGCACAGGACCCTCCCTCAGCTCTTCCTCGCCTGAGTCTGAGCAACCTTCCACCTTAGGGTTGCTCCAGGGAGGAGCAATTGCCTGTCGTACAGATGTGGGAACCATGGCTCACAGAGGGGGAAGGGACTTGTCAAGGTCTCTGCCAGAAAGGGACCCCCGCTCCCATTGCCCAAACAGGCCTGTCATCTGCGGAGCCCTCTGGAGTGTGGGAACTGTGCTGCTTACTTCTTGGCTGCTGGGGGAGGAATGCCAAGGAGCTAAATGCTGACATACTTTAGGAACCCCTAGTGAGGATCCCCACTACCAGGGCCATTGAGTAGGTCCTCCAGAACAGCGCAGGGACTGGGACACCCCTTCTTTTTCCGGCCAGGTACAGGGACCCTGGTGTGGGTTTGAGCTGCATCCCATGGGAGTCACACCCACCAGGTTCTAGGTCTGGCAGGTGCTGGCAAGGGAGGTGCACCCACAGGCTGGCTGAGTATTCACCTGTGCCGCCTTGTTTCCCTTTCATGGTCGCCCCAGGAGGCAGGCACTATTGGGTCTTTCTTGGTTTTGCAGGGAATACAGGGTATGGGTCTCAGAGAGGTTAAGTGACTCAGCCAAGATCACACAGCCAGTGAGATTCAAATCCAAAGCTGCCCCCCAGCCCCCACCCCCATCCTACTACACCCTAGGGCCTGCGGGCAGCAAGTGGACACTCCCCCGACCACAGTGGATGTTTATCAGGATTGGGAGGGGGCTGTGCTGGGCTCTGCCTCCCTGGTGGTAACAGGCAGCGTCAGTCTGAGGTGAGTTTCCTAATACTTATCAGAGGGGGCCACATCTGGGATTCACATGGAGCCTGAGCCAGGGAGCCCCACTCCTACGCAGGCATTGGCGGGCCTCCAGTTAAAACCGTAAGGAGAGTGGGCCCCCAGATATCTGGCCTGGGACACTGGCTGTCCTGCACAGCTGTCTGGCCCCTCAGCACCCAGGGCCCAGCTGTGTAAGGCTGTGGAGCAGCCAGGGTAGGATGTAGGCACCTCTTCGAAACTCCCAGATGAGTTCACTTCCTGTGGTGATGAGCTGAGCTGGGCCCTCCAGGCACTTGCCCAACCAGCCTTGCTGTGGCTAACTGAGGAAGGTGTGTGTCACAGGGCTGGCTCAGGTGCCTGGGGCTCGATACCACTCTCTTCCTGTGGGTAGCAATGCTCCTTGCTCCCTGACTGGAAGACTCCTCTCTTACCTCCTCCGTGAAGCCCCCTTTGGTTACCAGGACTACTCTAAGGTCTGCCTCCCATCGACTGTAACTCAAGGGCCTTGTGGAGGATGTGGGGGAGGCCGGGGCCGCCTGAAGTCATTGCAGCATTCTGTGAGGCACCTTGATGCCACCTGACCTGAGCCCGAAATAGCCCATGGGTGAGTCAGGCCTACCTTCAATCCTTCTCTTCCCAGCCACAGCCTAAAAAGTGAGAGGCCCAGCGGCAGGAAGCTGGTTGGCTTGTCCCCACCTGGTTTCAGGTACTTGCTGTTAGCCTAGCCTTGGTTTCGGGGGCTGCCTGTTCCTCCGGCTGGTTCCAGGCAGTCACATCCCACCTTACCAGGTGGAGATCAATGAGAAACAGTGCTGCTACCCAGAACACCTTTGGAACCCTCGGATACCACCAGCCCAGGCTCT